CCCAACCCCCCGCCCACCCCCCCCGGAAGACCCACACCAGCCATCGTATGCCGGCCGTGAAAGCCTTCGACAATACATTGGAAAGGAAGCATCTGTTTGGAAAGCATCTTTCCAATGTCCCACCCAGGAACAGGCTTTAGAGTAGAGAAATGCCACTCTGTGAAAATTGGCTATGGTAAAGGAGCATCCTTGGAATTAGCATATCTGACTGTTTTCCATGCCAAAGTTTGCTGCAGCTGTCCTGTTCGATAGCCTTTCTGGTCATTCAGTTGGTCTTTGATTTTTTTAAGCCAGTAAGAAATTGATGAAGTGGGCAGGCTTTCAGAGGGGGAGTTAAGCTGGATTTTTTTTCCTGGTCTTCTGGCTCCTTAAGGGCCATTGGAATCGGATGCCACCATCACCAGATGGTGCTCTCTGCTCCTCAGAAACCAAGTGGGGATAAAATGTTCAGTGAAGCTTTTGAAAGAAAACATTGAATATGTCAATCTTGATATACATGTAGGGAGCATGACACTGGAAGTGTGTTGAAGTTCTTCAGGACTTGGGATGCAAGTTGAGGTGAACCTCAGACTGTCATAAACTGACTGACCATATATGGCCTACCAAATAATGGCATTGGGAAAGCTAAGCCCACCGCCTTGAACACGGTGCAGAAAACAAACCTGGAATCATATCTAGAGGAGAATTTGCAATGCCCTTGGGGATAAACTTTTGTTAAGGATCAATAAATTAGGAAATGAATGCAAAGACTACAAGTTATTCACAGTCCCTGAGCTTGCTGGCTTCTGAAAGAACCGATAATAAAGCTCATATATAGATGGAAAGAAAAATAACATGTGATAAACCAGGAGAAATGAAAACAGAACATTCAGTTTCATTGAAATTCAACTGGGATGTGAAATTCTCCATCTCTTAAAGAAGAGATTTCCCCAACGATGACCAGCTTACATTTCGATTTAAGTAGCAAGTCCGCGGAGATCTTCTACGAGCTGCTGTGAATTTTATTGTGGGAAGCCTGGTGGTCAAAAAGATTGGGAGTTTGGTGGTGTTCCTGAAGACCGAAGGCTTTACAATGGAGTGAAGGAGAGATGGGGTGGGTAAATCATTTTAATTGGCCTGACTTTTAAGAGAATGAGGACCTGCTGTTTTGGTTGCTGCAAAAGCTCCAAGACAGACTGGCACACACCTTTTCTGAATGCAGATGGCTTTCTTCCCCACTTCACTCCAAATGCCTGTGAGACATCTCTACAGCAAGAAACCACCCCTGAGACATCTTCCTTCAGAAGCCTTCAGTTTGGCCAGTGAAAGGTACAGACAGGTAAGGAGAATGCCCTTCTTCTCATTCCATTACTCCCATCATTCTAGCAAGTAAAACACCTTGTCTTAAATGGCAAGCGTCCCCATCAATTGC